TGTGTGTGTGTGTGTGTGTGTGTGTGTGTGTGTGTGTGTGTGTGTGTGTGTGTGTGTGTGTGTGTGTGTGCGCGCGCGCCAAGGAAACGAATGAACCCCGGTGATCGAACTGCACACCACAAGACCTTTTCAAAAGAGCTCATCGCAAGGCTACAAGCGACAAAATGTTAGTTCGGGACTCAAAAACCTCGCATGCCAACGTACGAACGGAACGGACCACAGACCTCATTGACACATCATGGCAGGAGATCAGATTGGCTGTTGAGAGAGCAAGGGTACGTCGATAGGACAGGCAAACAAGTGACAATGAGGCGAAGGACAAAAGGCAACAAATGCTTATGACAAGCGGCAGCAAGGGACATAGGCTGTAGGGCAGGGGGGAGACGGGTTGGCCGACAAACAGCACGACACACTGAAGGAAAAGCCAGTGAGACAAGAGACATGGGCTGGAGGCCACAGGAGAGGCGGGTGGGTCAGACAAACAACATAAGGAATGAAGAAAAAGGAAATGAGCCAAAAAGTAACAAGGGAAAAGAACCGCAAACAAGCCCAGTACAAGTCCCGAAAAAAGCAAGAGTGAAAAAAAATAAAATTGATGATGAAAGATCGCCAGACTTGCACTGACTCGTCAGGAGGCTGAACCCTCAACAATCTGTGGAATCCCCATACTCATGCTTTGGGTCATGAACCCTTTGACCCTTGTTGAAAGCAAACTGCCTGCGAACATCACAAGCACAGCATAGCAGCAGGCAATGACTCAGTGAAGCACCAGGTCGACCCAACTACACAGCGTCAAAGCTAACTCCGTGGAATGACAACGCGAGCGGACTGGCAGCAAAGCAAGAGCATAGAGAAGCACACAGCAGCGCTGCAGCAATGGCAAAACTGTGCATGACACAAGCAAAATGCATGAGACGACAAGGCACGCGGATGGACAGCAAGGCAACAATGCAGCAAAGCACAATGCAGCAAAGCACAATGCAACACCGACAACACAGCCAAACTACACAACAACACACCAGCTGCAAAGAACGACATGAAGAGCAAGCAGGATGGGCAGCAAGGCAGCTGTGGAGTATAGACAAGGCAGTCCACACATCCAACAGGGAGCAAAGCCATCCAAGACCTACTCACACCACAAGTAGAACCCCCCAGACTGTTGGTTCCCACCACCCGCTGAGCCAGGAAGTCACTACGACGAACATCTGTCATCACCCATAGACCCACACAGACATCACGTACAGAGCAGCCCCCATAATAGTGTTACAGGCCTCCAAACATCCCGGCACTGTCTGTTTAGCACTCAAAGGTACTCACCCAGGCACACAAAGTGAAAAAATGTCGGAAGAAAGACACACAAGAGACAAGAAGAAAGACACATAAAACTGATTGTGTGTGTGTGTGTGTGTGTGTGTGTGTGTGTGTGTGTGTGAGTGTGTGTGTGTGTGTGT